TTGTGCTTTTTATCTTTGAGATTTTGGATTCTTTTAAGTCCTTATTTGCTCCTTCGTATGTTGTTTACTTTTGAAAATAAGTTTCTTCTTTGGGATGTTTGTTCTGTTTTCTTCATTTGAAGATCATTTTTATTAATGGAAAAGACTAAAATTAAATCAGTTGTTGGTGCAGCCTTCAGTGTTGTGGTTGTTGAACAAAGGGAAAATCTGTTGACTTCACTCACTGTCGTGTGTGCTAGAGCCCTGGGTTGTGTTCAGGGCCTGGCAGTGCCAGTTCAGTCATCACATCTGCATTTAAAACAGAGTAATACCAGCCGCTTCAACCGTCTTCTGAAAGGAAAGAAAAGGCTTTCCACAGCATTTGGTAGCAAGCTGATTATACCTAAAACTTTTAATTGTTTTCAGGGGAAAGTTGAACAAGATACATAGTCCTTTGTGTTGGTGGAAATGCAAACTTCTGATTTCTGTCCCACTTTGAAAACTTTGTACATTTACTTTTAGAAATATAAAGATTAAAGGTAAATATGTGAATAAATAGACTGCAAAACACCTCTTTCAAACCTACCTAATTTCTTTTTTTTTGTGGAAGTGGGATTTGAACTCAGGGCTTCACACTTGCTAAACAGGTGCTTTACCACTTGAGCCACTCCTCCAGCCCCCAAACCCACCTAATTTTTAAACTACTGTTGTCCTTGTTTATTGTTACCAGTATGAGGCGTGCCTTACAACCCTCCCACTAGATTTTTTTCACTTAGCAGTATATTCTAGGCATTCTCACATGTTGGTACATGCGGATGTGCCTCATTCTTTCTGACTGGTACATCATGTTCTGTACTTACTGTCCTACCCTTGCAGATCCATTGTCCACATTTTTCCTCTCTGTGGATGGTTGGCCTCTGAACTGAGTCACTTCCTCGCCCACTTGATTTGACAAAAGGTACCAACAGGCTGGGTGCCAGTGGTTCACTCTATAATCCTAGCTACTCAGGAGGCAGAGACAGGAAGATCAGGGTTCAAAGCCTGCCCGGACAAATAGTGCTCAAAGACCCTATCTTAAAAAAAAAGCTATCACAAAGAAAGAGCTGTGGACTGGCTCAAGTGGTAAGAGCACCTGCCAAGCAAGTGTGAGGCCCTTAGGTCAAACCCAGGCACCTCCCTCCTCTCCCCACCCCCCAAAAAAAAGGTACCAACAGGAAATTAGAGAGTGGTAGGAGAGGTCAGAGCATTTCTTATCGTCTTCACATCTCCTTGCCAGGGTCCTAGTAGAGGCCGTTCTCCTCTGGCCCCTGCTACCATCAAGTGACCTCTCTTCTCCAGCCATCTTTTATGGGGCTCCTTTCTTTTTTCCTTGCCCTTTCAGGCTAAAGGGCAGAAAGAGCTTCCTGCCCTTCTTAGTCTCTGGCTGCGTCATCATTCCTTGTCGGTTCCTTTCAATCCTATTGACACAATTATTAAGAAAAAAAAAAAATCCTGCTGTTAAACCTCCTTCATTTTACTCTTTTGCCTGTGCCATCTGTTTCCTGCCAAGGCACAGCTGATACTGCTGTGCATATGCACTGCAATTTATTTGTTGGTTGATGGGCATTTAAACTCTTCCTTGAATTTTGTCCTTATAATCAGCATTGCTAATGAGCATTCCCATATGTGTCCTTTTCGCCATTTGTCACGCTGTACTTAGGGGACAAGTCACAGAGACCTAAGTGCTGGGTCAAGGTTTAAGAATATTGTAAATTTCAATGACTGTTTCTCAGTTGCTTTCCAAAGGGTCTACTGATTTACATTTTTGCAATTTGTTGTTTGATTTTTTAATATTGAAAAATTATGGAGGCAATACTTGTGACTTAAAACAAATTTAATTCAGATGCTTATAACAAATTTAAGTCAGATGTGTATAAAGGGAAAAGTAAAGTCCTCCAGTAACCTACTTTCCATATTCTCAGCCTATTCCTCACTAGCAACCATAAACTTAACTGGCCTATTAGGCCTTCTCCCCACACATACACTTTTTAATATTTGTATGCTTATCATAGAGTTATCTATGTATATGTACATATAGACATATTCATATATGTCTGCATATGTATCTCTGAGAGAGCCCATTTCTAGACTCTTCTGTTTCATTATCTGTTTGGTTTTCCAGTACTCATCTATCTTAATAATTAGAACCTTGAGTTGATTTCCCTATCTGGGAAGGCAAATTCTCATCTGTGATTTTTGTGAAATATATATTTGTCTTCATCCTCATTCCTGGCATACAGCCTGTAAAATCTTTGGATTATCCAAAGTGATCTCTTTTTGTATGCTAATGACTTGACCAATAGCTAGCAGCCCCTAGGTAGCTGCAGGATGGGGGCTGGTTCTTGGAAAGATCAAGGCAGGAATATAGGGTTGGTACTTTGAGGTTCAAACCCCAACCTTTTTTAGGGAAGGAATAGAACCTGAAGATTAAGCTGACCACTAATGGCCACTGGCTCAATTAATCATGCCTATGTAATAAAACCTCCCGAAAACCCAAAAGAATGGGTTTTGGAGAGCTTCCACATAACTGAACAGTTCCTGGGATGGTGCCCAGATAAAGACATGGAAACCCCCATCCTTTCTCCCATACCTCACCCTTTGTATCTCTTAATCTGTATCCTTTGTGGGATCTGTTATAATAGACTGCTAAATATAATTGCTTCCTTGAGTTTTATGAGCCACTTTCAGAAATTAATTGATCCAAAGAGGGTTTGGGGGGCTTGTGATTAGCATCTGAAGGAGGAGGGACAATCTTATGGGACTGAGCCCTCAATCTGTGGGATCTGATGCTATCTTCACATTGACAGTATCAAAACAGAATTAGAAGCTGGTAGAGTGACTCAAATGGTAGCGTGCCTGCCTAGCAAGCATGAGGCCCTGAGTTAAAGCCCCAGTGAAGCCAAAAAAAAAGAACCTATAATTTGATTAGAGGACACCCAGTTGGTGTCCCTTACTGCAGCATTGCTTGCTTGGTGAGGGAGGGAAAATCCTCACATACTTGGTATCAGGAACTGGTTGTGAAAGAATAGGACAAACTGAGTCTGCCCTTGCCCCCATATATCTTCAGATCATCTCCGTATATTCCATTAAAAAAATTTGGCTCTTGGATATAAGCTCAGGTAATCTTTAGGTCTAGGTACAAAAAAATTCAAGGATTTTGACTGTAATTAAACTGATTAATTTATAAAGAATCGACATTTAGGAGAACTGACATATGTCTAGTATTGAATATTTTTATTTAAGAACCTGTTGTTATATATCCTTTTTGGTCATACTGGGGTTTACACTCAGGACTTTGTGCTTGCTAGGTAGGTACTCCTCCAGTGAGAGTCTCTTATATTTTTTATTTACTCAGATCTTCTGCACCCTTTGGTGAAAGTCTTGCCCATTTCTAAACAGGTTTAAGTATTTTATAGCTTTTATTGCTGTCACAAATGGAATTCACCTTATATTGTATAGTTAGATATTGCTGATAATGTTTTTTAAAAAATTGTTTATTTTTATAAACTAATCTTATAATCACTTACTTTATTGAACTTTCTGTTAGCTCTAACAGTTTTTTAATTGGTTTTCTTGGCCTTTCTAGGTGGCCCAATTACATAATCTACAAGCTATAACTTCAATATTAATATTTATACATCTTTTTCTTTTGGCTGTACTGAGGATTGACTTCAGAGCCTCATACTCGCTAGGCGGATGCTATACCACTTGAGTCACTCCACCAGCTCTTTTTGTGTTGGGTAAATTTTAGATAGGGTTTTGTGAACTATTTGCCTTGGCTGATTTGAACTGTGATTCACCTGCTCTCTGCCTCCTGAGTAGCTGGGATTACAGATGTGAGCTACTGCTACACCACCCAGTAGTACATTTCTTATGTTATTTTGTTACTAGGATATCTGATTGGGTTTGGAGAAGAGGTCTCATCCAGGAAATGTTTCTTGACCTATGTTACATTTAAGTCAAGTGTCAAAGGAAATGTAGGTTGAGTAGAAAATATATTCCAGAGGAGCCTTGAGAAAAGCAACAAGGTAGCATTCAATGAAACAGAAAGAATGCATAGGGCACAGATAAGTTTGGGAGAAGCAGAGGATTGATTGGAGAGTAAGTAGGGGCTCAGTCAGAAGCTACTAGACTTTCCAAAAACAATTACTTTATTCAGAGGAACTGAGAATTGAATGAAAGTGTGTTAGTCATAATAGCCCATTGAAATTGTCTGCACCCTAATCACTGGAACCTATGACTATGTTAACTGATTTGACAAAAGGGTTTTTCCAGATTTGTGAAGGTTATGGCTCTTTAAATAGGAAGATTATGTTGGATTATTCATGTTGACCCTGAAAAGTTTCTCTAGCTAAAGCAGGTGTATGTTGCTATAGAAGGGAATACTGGAGAGTTTCAAAAAGTGAGAGAAAGATACAGTTTGCCATGGCCAAAATGGGACCACTTGGAAATTCAGAGAAGGATTGTAGGAACAAAGACTGATCTCTGATAACCAGCAAGGAAACGGAGGCCTCTGCCCTATAGCTACAAAGGGCTGAATTTAGCCAACAGCTGGAATGAGTTTAGAATTGGATTCTTCTCCCCATTCTTCAGAAATGAATGCAACTCTCCAGACATCATGGTTTTGGACTTCTGAGACTCTGAGCTAAGGACCTTGCTGAGCTGTATTATACTTAGACTTTGGCCTTCAGAATTCTGAGATAAATTTGTGTTGTTTTAAACTGTTAAATTGGTGGTACCTTTTTTCAGCAGCAGTAGAAAATTAATACAAAGGGGTTTGAGCACAAAAGGAATGTCAAATGTTGTGTTAATAAAATCACGTTCCTTATGACACAGATGAGCAGGTTAGCAGATGCCATGTCATAAACTCAGTGATCATTCTTCATTTGGAAATTTTCCTATAAATGCTTCATCTTAGGGTAAAGTATATCAATAAGATGATTGCTTTATCTTGTAAAGCTAATTTTTATTTATCTTTTTAGGTCATGTAGGAAATTATAAATGATGTGAAGATGGGACTCCTGGTGTTTGTGCGCAATCTGCTGCTAGCCCTCTGCCTCTTTCTGGTACTGGGATTTTTATATTATTCTGCCTGGAAGCTACATTTACTCCAGTGGGAAGACTCCAGTAAGTATAGTCACTCTAGCTCACCCCAAGAAAATTTGCTGCAGGTCAACTAGGGCTTATTGTGCAGCTGCAGGACTTTTCTATTCAGAGATGGGCAGTGAGAGTAATCTGAACATTCTGAGATATTTTAGTTGCTGTAGGCTTAGAACTTTGGTGCTTTTATTTATTTATTTATTTATTTATTTATTTATTTATTTTGCGGTACTGGGGTTTGAACTTCAGGGACTCACATTTGCTAGGCCGGTGCTCCTACTCCACCAGCCTTTTTTTTTTTTTTATAATGTTTTTTTTTAAGATATTATTTGCCTGGGCTGGTTTCAAACAGAGATCCTCCTGATCTCTGCCTCCTGAGTAGCTAGGATTACAAGTGTCAGCTGGTGGGCGCCTGGCTGGTGGGCTGGTTCTTTTATTTATTTATTTTTTAAAATTGCATGCCATGGCAAATCTTAGTTCCTTTTATGAACCCAGTGAGCATGTGCTATTCTTCAATTAAAAACTCAACTATACCATACTTCTAGTTCTTGAAGGCATTTGTTCTTTTTAAATTACTATAGTTTGTACAACTCTTATTTCCCATTTATTGCATTAGGGTTTGGTATTTGTTTTTCATCTGCCTTTAGAACATTCACCTTCAGTTTTTTTCTTGAATTTTCAATTTAATATTGTCTTTATTTTCCCTAAGGAAACCTTATCTTCTTAATCTTTTTACCCCTTTGGTATTGAACTTGCACCTAACTGGACTATTGGCTTCATTTTCTTACCTAGTTACTCTTAATCCCTTTCTTCCATTTGAGCATTTTATCTCATGTGTTACATAGTGTTTTCCACATAGCCTGACTCCTCTGACTTTTGTTTCTATTCATCAAATGTCTCCTGTGACACAGGTTTGCAGTAGAAAAACTGACATTGATCAGCCCCATCTCTTTATGTTCTGTTCTTGGCTATAGCTTGAACTATCCTGCAGAAAACCATACATGTTTTTTCTTTTGGCTATTTCATCTAATCTGAACTTGCTTCAGGAAATATTCTGTGGCTTATTCTGATTCCCAGTGACTTGTCTTCTCAAAAGTAGTTTTATTATTTATTTATTTTTGTGGTAGGAGGGTTTGAACTCAGAGCCTACACCTTGAGTCACTCCACCAGCCCTTTTTTTGTGATGGGTTTTTTCAAGATAGGGTCTTGTGAACTATTTGCCTGGGCTGGCTTTGAACTGCAGTCTTCCAGATCTCTACTATCGGTACCTGGCTAAAAGTAGTTTTATTTTTACAAACATCTACTGGATACTAGTATATAACTCACTAGAGAGTAGAGTTTACTAGATACAAGTCAGGTACAAGATTAAAATGAGTTGGAAGAGGCAGTTGGCAACTGACCTGTTACTGTACTAAGGCCTTAACATGGCAACTATTCCTGTGATGTAGTTCAGGTATTTCTCTTATGGTCCAATCATCAGAGGCAGTTTTAAGTCAAATTTTAAGTACAGTGTTATTTATTGTTTTATATAGAATGTTTAAGTGCCTCTTAATTGTCATTAGTTACTTTGTGTTTCAAGAGTTTATTTAAGTTGCTTTGCACTAATTTATTTCTAAAATCAAGAAGACTACCCAAGATAAGGAGCATTTTTGAATGTCTTTTTTGGTGGTAATACTAGAGTTTGAGCTCAGGGCTTTGCACTAGATAGGTAGATGCTCTACCACTTGAGCCACACCTCTAGCAAGTGTGTTTTTATCAGTGTAGAATCCTGTGGTTAGAAGCACTCTCTATATTTAAAATGGTGGATCCATCTGTATCCATAGTTTAGATGGAAAATATGTGAAAAGAACAGAGGTCTCCTTTTGTGTAGAGACATAACTAAGAATCAGATAATGTTTTTCTAGAGAAATACAGAGGAAATTAACATCATGGAAGACCCATGGTGTGTCAGATATTAGACTAGACAATTTACAAATTTTATTTCATCTAATTTAATTTTTAATACAGTTCTGTAAACATGCCTTTGTTCTCCATTTTCCAGTTGAGTAAACTGTAGCACTTAGTTTAATTAATTTGCTAAGGTCACACAGCTAATTGTTGGAACTGAATTGACCTCTGATTTTCTGTCTTTAAAACCCATGTTCATTATTTTATTGAAAAGTATAGTAAATATTAAGAAGATTTAATTCCATATTCTACCTGGTAAATCGAAAGGAAGGGGTGCAGAGAAAAAGTAATAGTTAGGAGCAGAGTAGCGAAAGAAAGGAGGAAAATAAAAGGAAGGGAAAGACAGGAAGAAGGGCCTCCAAGTCAGATGTTTAACCTGAAAGGCTTCAAGTAGGAGATCAGTCTACTTAGCAACATATTTTTTATTACTATATGATTCATTCAACTACATTGTATCTATGTATGAAGATGGTACAAGGAAATGCATTGAAAACTGTTGAAAAATAGTGGGGGAGGTGGGAAAGGGAAGGAGTAATAGTGAGTTAATCCGATTTAAAGTAAAATATATTCCTGTGTGAAATACCATGGTGCAGCCCCTTTGAATAATGAATACGTACACACAAATGAAGGACAGGTATGTAGAAAAGGTTCTACTCAGGGGTGGGTGCTACTGGGAGGCAAGAGGGTGAATATGGTCGTATCTAGTATATTTGTATGAAAATAGAACAATGAAACTTGGTGAAATTGTTTTAAGAAGAGGGGAAGAAACACAGGGAGAATGATGGAGGGGGTGAATCTAACCAAGGTACATTGTAAGCATATATGGAAATGTCACAATGAAACCCCCCTACAACTAATATAATGTAATATAATGTTTTAAAAATAAATTATTCATTCAATAAATAGAGTGTTCCTTTTATGTACTGTCCTTGTACTGTCCTGGGTAAACCAGATGTAAGATGAGCATAGCTCTTCATGCGTTCAGCCCATTAACATGAGAAAGTATCAAAACAAGTATCATAATGTGTTAAGTTCTAAAAGAGAAATCTGTGTGAGATGCTGTCAAAGCACAGAAGTCTTCCAAATAGGAAATTTATGGTTTTATTAATTCCAAGGTATATTGTAGAGAGATACAAACTGCTTTTTTTGGGCAGCTTTAAAAAGCACATGACAAAGTCTTGTTCAGATTGCCAAAGCTAGGGTCAAATGTTTAACCTGAAAGGCTTCAAATAGGAGATTATCGTAGTAATCAATCTAGGGTTTGGTTTTTTTTTTTTTTTTTTTAGTACTGAGAACTGAGCCCAGGGCCTTGTGCATGCTAGGCAAGTGCTCTGTCTCTTGAGCCACAACCCCGTCCAGTCAACCTGTTTTAAAAAGTTCTATAACATTATCATATTTGTAATGTGATATAATATATATGCATATATACCTATATATATGTATGTATTTAACATACACATATTGTTAAAATTAATAAGAGTTAGGCAGACTTCAATTTCTTCATCTCTAAAGTAAGGCTAAAATACTTACATTTCTCTTTGTCCTGATACTATATTCAGTTCTGCTTTGGAAAAGAGTTAGGTAGTTGCTTCTTATTAGACCTGATACTGGCCTTTCATTTCATGAAGGCTATCCATATTTTATTAATTCTAAATTTTATTTATTTTTAATAATCTTTCCTAGATTTGTTTCCTGAGTTACAGAATCTTTAAAAATTCATAGTACTGTGCTTATAAATTATATTCACCCCTATATTTATGAAAGATCATATCCAGAAAGACTACAAAATCTGCATATTGATCCAGTTGTTATGGAGAATACCATCTGGCAAGTAAGTTGGAAGTTGGATAAGTTGGATTGATATTAAGACAGGTTGAACTACCTTAGTAGACATCAGACACTATGTTAACTTAGTTTTCACTCTTAAAAGTGAAATAGGAGCTGACACTTCTGGCCTGTGGCCTAGAGAGGCACTCTGCTTCCTGTGATGATGGAGCATCTGATGTCAGAACTAGTTCTCCCTCCATAAAAAATTATACAACTGGACAAAATAGATGAATCAATTGTGTCAAACAAGAGACAGTAGGTACAGGAAATTTCAGTTCCTAAGAGAAGGAAAACTCCTGAGCTGAGCCCCACAGTGCCAGCTCTTGGGGCACAATTTCCTACCTGCTCAGAGAGCAGTATCTGAAGAGGATATAGTGATTTCCACTTAGCTGAGGAGGCAGAGAGCAGAATTCAGCATAGCCGAAGCAGTGGGAATCTAGGATGGACCATCAGGGTGGGTATTAGAAGTCTGTGGGAGAATGAATACCTGTGAGTCTGGGCTATGTATGTATATATATATGTACATAGGGCAGAGCCACCTGAGGCTTACCATATGTAGCAGCTGCTACAGTATGAGAGTGGAAAAGGATACTAGATGAAGAGTAGTGTTGGGGGAAAAGCAATGCCAGAGACATTGAAGATCTTGCCCTACCAGAGTGGAAAGATCTCATCAATACTATGTTAACGTACTAGGATCGAGCTGAGACACTGGAAATCCTATGCCTTAAGAGTCAAGAGCTCACCCATGAGTAAGATCTACTCTAGACCCTCTCTAACAATTAGGCTTAATGCCAACTCTCAGTTAGACCAACTTCAAAGTTTGGGTCCCCTCAAGTGAGAGAAGTCAAAAATAGTGTGGAATTTTCCTCAAGTTATAAGTTCAGTGTCATTGGGTAGTACTTGAACTACTTGCTAAAATCAACACTCTTCAGAGGAAGATTTCAGTATTCATAGTTTCCATGTGTAATATCCACAGGGTAAAATGATTAATAAAAAGTTAATAAGAGGCAGCTGGACATAGTGGCGCACACTTATAATCCCAGCACTTGAGAGGCTGAGGTAGGAGGATCATGAGTTACATAGTAAGATCCTGTCTTTAAAAATTTAAGTAAATAAACAGAAAAGTCATTAGGACTCAACAAAGAAACAAATAAAATGTGATCTATATTCAAGAAAAAAACCTGTCTGTAGATAAGATGGCCCCAATGTTTGGCAGACAAAATAGCAATTACAAGTATATTCAAAGAATTATA